GCTCTGCACAAGCGTGATTTCGACAGGCAAGGCAGAAGTGGCTGGAAAAGCCTGTTGAGAATGTCTCACCCACAGCCAGCAACTATCAGAGTGCAGCAGCAGACAGCCCTGCCAGGGAGGCTGGCCAAGCCACAGTCTGGCCTGAAAGAGGGCAGGGGAGACACAGCTGCCTGCAAGGCTCTTCCTCAATGCAATTAATTGGTTTTGTCTCACTGTGAAGCAATACTTGTGTTTAAAGTGTTGCTTTCCACAGATTTCATTTAAGCCTGTAGTTCATGCCCCTTTTCATCAGAACAAAGAAGCGTAAGAGTTGTATGTTTGCTTATAAAATCCCATTGCTTTAAATATTGTCAGATGCTACAATAAAAAGCTGAAAAATAGAAAAAAAGGATTTTCCAATAAATATACTTAGGTAAGGTGCTTTGTTTCCCCATTCATTAAAAAAACCTGTTGATCTGATTTTATATGTACATATCGTGTTTACAGTATTCATCTCCTGGAACCTAAGAAAACCTGCAAGTATTTTATATATGAATAAAGATGTAACTTAATTGTTTTGGAAACGAAGTGGGTTTTGTGCAGTTTTTGAAAGACAACAACTATTAAGTAAATTATACTAGGGGTCATTTTTGAGAAACGATTCCTTACTATTTCATCCCAAACTTGACAGCTAAGACCATAACACCAATAGGTAAGCCAACTCTAATACCTTATAGCTTTTGGACAACCTAATAAATACACTGATAGTAGAGGTTGGAATAATCTGCAAAAAGAAAGAAAACAGATCCTTGGAGTTGAAGATAGAAATAGCATTCACGAAAACCACAAAGAAATCCATGGAAGAATGAGCTATGCTTCTGTTACAAAGCTTTCAGTCATGAAGCTCCATGAGAACAAAATTCAGACTTCTAGCATCCATCTTTGGTTTCATAATATATATCTCTTAAGATAAAGCATGTCCTTGATACATATTTCAAAATTATACTTGCTTTACTAAAGACAGAAGTAGAAGGCCCATACACTGGAAGGTTCCCAGCTCCTAGGAGTAATTGCCAACATCTCAGAATTCTGATGTCAAAGTGCCTCTGAGGATCTGGGATTTTCTTTTTTTTTTTTCCCCCCAGCCATAGCAAATGAGAACAAGATTGAAACAATGCAACACAAAACAAGAGGAAGAATTCACGATGATGACACATAGTTGGTTTCAAGTTAACCATGCAGAGGAATGAGTTTACGGAGAGAATTTTTTTCAGAGGATGACTTACAAGCCAAGCACCTAAAGAATATAGTTTGCACTTATTCTACTAAGAAATAAAGCAGGAAGTTCTACATAACCTTTGTAGCCAGCATTTTTGAAGAAGAAAATCCAATTAAGTATATGTATAATTAACAAATGTACAGTTAGAAGAGTGATATGGTTAGAATAGTATTTTACAGGTTTATACTTAGAAAGATTATAACAATGGAAAGAGACAACCAAAAATGAAACACTCACCTGTGTCCTAGGCTTACAATAGAAAACTCCAAAAGGAAGGATCTCCAGAAAGAGGCCCTTCCCCCATGGCATTCAGCCCTTAAATGGGTCTAGGAGAGGTGCAGCCAGGCTTCACCCCTTCCGGTCACACAGCTGAATTGCCTTCACCTGTGTTCTCATGGCTGACCCAGTCCTTGCTTCAGGTGATCAATCAGTGGTTCAGGCAGTGACTCAACAGTTCCCATACAATATAATATTGTCTAAAGCAGGCAGAAATATATACACCAAGGAAAAAAGATCAATATAAATATTGGAAAAAGATTTGTGATAGAAGTGAGTAAAAGGACTGTGGTTAATTCTACTTGGGAACTGAGAGGATCCAAGGAGAAACAAGGGACCTGTGACACTGTGGGAAGCAGGGTGGCAGTCTGCCTGCTGCTCCTGGTGCTGTAAGTGCCACAGCAGGGTGAGGGTTGCCATCACTTCTGTAACAGCATTTTTGAGAACGTGTACTGTTCAGAAGAGATGAAAGCATAGGATTAACTCAATGATCTGTTTCTTGCTTCAGGGCCACAGACTTGAAAAGTCAGTACGTTTTCTTCTTTAACATGCCAGGCTTCTGAGCAGCGCAGACGGTGTCACATGGAGGCTGTATTATTCCTGCTTAAGTAACCCACTTTAGCCAGCAACCTGCTGGGGGAAGGGCAGAGCTGAAGTCTCACCAGCTCCCACGCTGCTGCCAGGCTCAGAGCTGCAGGCTGCATGCTGTGTTCCATGGTTCCCTCTGGCACCGCTACTGACCAGCAATGGGATGTGCATGCTTCATCTGTACTGCAGCTGAGAATGACTCCTCCATTTGCATCAGAGCCATTCTTGTAGAGCATTTTTCCTTTTGCTGAGTGTCTGCCTGCCCCAGCATTGGGTTCGGGATGTTGATCTTGACCTCCAGATCTCCACAATCAGGGTCATTCTCGGTACCACTGGGAAGTGTGAGTTTTGTGGCTGCAGCACATTGCTGCTCTGCATAGACAGGTGCTAGCAAGGGGCCTGGCTCAACCAGCCTCCTCAGGAGACACACACTTTACACAGCCTGCCAGTGTGCTTTCTCCTTAAATCTATCTTTGTTTTTTATTACTGCATCACCGGCTTTCATTTAAGCTCCTCTGATCATATCACCCTGGTGCTCCTCATGCCCTCCCTTTTGGGCAGGTTTCCCTGGCTCAGCAGCGCTGCTCAGTGCCCAGCCTAATAGAACACGTGGCCCACTGAGACCAGTGTAAATATTTCCCTTGATTTCAGTGGACTTTGGACAAGCCTGCAATAACCCACTTTATTAGACAAAGAGGGGCCTCAGCAGCCCATCTGCAGTCAGTGATGGCACTCATGTTGCCTGAAGTGTACCCCAAAAGCATGGCCTTCCCTTCTTGTGGCACCCCTTCACAGTGAGTTCTGCCCTGCCATAATCACATAGGAGGGGCAGACCCAGCCAGCTCAATGAGGTGTCTATGAGCCTATGGCTTTTCCTGTGAGGAGGGGTGCCGGGTGGCACTGCATGCAGCTGAAGGAAGGCCTGGGAGCTGAGGGGTGGGAGCTGTCTTCCCTCTGAAAATGCACATCTGCATTAGCTGTGTCATTTTTACCACTCATTCTAAATACAGCAACCATGTTTCTTAGTGGATACAGTGTGTGCGTCTGCACAGTGCTGTCACAGCAGCCTCAAGTCTAACCTATAAATATAATTAATGCTGGTGCCGTTATTTATATTAAACAAGTGATGAGCCATTGTTTTGCTGTGAGATGTTCAGAATATTTGGCAGCCCTGGAGCTTGAACAACATCAATTTTAAATTTCATAATCGAACTGCCACCTTGTGGTATGGTGGTGAGAAATCTGTAGGAAATCGTGTACAGCAGAAATAGAGATACATCATAAAAATTGGTCTCTTAGCCCCACCAATGGCTTACCATATTTATGTAGTCTTAAATATATCTTTAATACACTTTGATGAAATAATTATTTTTTCTGTCTTCCATTAGAAAGTTCATCTGGTCTTTTATTATTATTTGTCAGTCTGAAATACCAAACCAGTTACTTATTCTCATATGTAATTGTACTGAAATCACTAGTCTACTATGTAAATGGATATTCAAGGTTAGATTAAAATGCAGCTTACAGGAGAGCCATAGATATAATGGCAATAGATATCTATCATTGTTTCCTTTCTCTATTTTAAGCTCATTTGTCTTGAGATTTTTATGAGAATCAGGGCATGGCCATACCAGATACTAAAGGTGAGCAAATAGCGCATCTGAGGTGCACTCCCTGTGTATCGTTGTGGGCCGTGACAAATGAGAGCTGATTGTAATCAGCTTTCTCTTTTGCTGCGGGCCTAGCTCTCACAAATTACTTCACCTTGGTTGTCAACCAAGAGCAAGCACAGTGGGCCAGCAGATGTGCAACTTGTGCATCTCAGCATTCAGGTGGCAGAGCTGCATGGAGATGCACTGCATGATCCTTTCTGCATATGGCTGGATTGAATGTCCTCGTGTCATCTAATGCTGCTCATGATAGGCAGATTAAAAACTAGTCCATTTCAAACCAAAAAGTGTAACTGAGGGCAACTATGTATCAGTGCTTTGTGCATTCAAGACTTCTCAGGAACATAGTGGTTAAAAAATAAAATAGTGTGAGTAACAAGAAGTCCATAGGATCTGGGCTCACATTTGTCCCTCTGCTCATGCCAGACAAGCATTAACACTTTCCTTAAAACATGGGGTGGAGTTATCTGCTGAGAAGAGCAAAGGGGGACAGGAGGGAGAGTAATCATATGGCAAGCATGATGCTGACCCTCCCTTAAACAAGCCCAGAAAGACACAGACAAGTGGCATGCAGCCTATAGCACTGAGGCAAGACGTTTTTCTTCCATTGTCTTTATTACAAGCCTGAGTGCAATACTCATGGAAGTATTTTTTATAAAGTATTTTTTATATATAGACAAGTGCTCAGAGATTTCTCAGTTCCTCATGAACTGCTGTCCTGTAATATCTCTGGTGAGCACTGGTTGTAGGAGAGAGCTAGTGAGCATTCCATGGTCAGGAATGCTGCAGGTGCTCATGGGGCTGCCTGAAGAGCCCAGCCCCTGGAACACCTACGCAGAGGCTGCCCTGACTTAGAGCATTATCCAGATTTCATGTCTCCATCAGTCTGCTTGGAAGCCAAACTCACAAGAAAAGTAGACACAAAGATTTTTTTCTTCATGATTGTGTGCAGTCTGCCCAGCTGGGTCATTTAAATCAAGTACAAAGATCCTTCTGCTAGCTATGGTCCCACCACATGGCCCAAGCAGATGCATATGTGAGCCACTTCTACATGAGGCCTCGTAGCAGCTCATGTTGCCTGAGTCATGGGTTTGCATCGGCACAGACCAGTGGTGACACAGGGACAGGACTGGCACAATTAGAAAATAAAGGGAGGAAGTGTTCAGTGTTGCTGGGACTGTGAGACAGAGGGTGGAGTGGCTGGGGGATATAGAGTATTTAATTGAAATGTATGGAGGGTGAGAGAAGAACTGTCTATAGAGCTGTGTGGCCTCTTCAGCTTGCACAAGTTAATTTGCAAAAAGGCTCTGTGGTGTTTGAGCACCCCATCCCGTCCTGCAGCCATACACCTCTGCAGTATTTCTCCTTCTGGGGGCACTTCCACTTGCCACTGCTATGGTCTCTGAGCAAACTGAGCCACTCCTGCTGCTCAGGGCATTATAGAGGGGACCAGGCTGGACCAACACAGCCATGCTCAAGGCTTTACGTACTGGGGCAGCTGTGAGCCCTAAATTCTGGGGGCTCTAGTAGAGGCCTGGCCTGATGGCCAGAGGAATGAAAGCAGGACCAACAGGACCAGTGCTGTCCTGAGAAAAGCAAGATGCCTCCCAAAGGAAGAGTGCCTTGGAAGTGATTTTTTCTTTCTGAAACGCATTAGTTGGAAAGCAGAGAGAGCATCACATCCCACTGCCATCAGTAAATCACCAATAGTAACTATGAAAGGAAATGTGTGTTTCTCCTGCTGAGAAACAGCACCCAGGACTAATGTCATTTAATATAACATGGCAGGAGCAGAGGTTAACCATGTGGTTAATGAAGCTTAATGTGTATAAAACCTGTAGAGAAATTGTTTTTTCTGGTGTTGTTGCTAGTAAGTCTGTCCTCACTTTCATAAAAAGAGTGTGGTGATATCTAAGAGTGGTATTTTGATGCCTGAAATGCTCCTCATATAAATAGAACAAGCAGATCAGCATGACCAAGTGATAAAATTACCTTCTGGTCTTCAGGAACTTCAGCATGTAACCGCGCTATAGGGACCTCAGTGTACCCCTCTTCACAGCACAAATAAATACATTTGGAAATGGAGGTGGAGGAGGCATATGAAAAAGGAGAGAATACACAGGGGAAAATGACTCGAGCTGAAGCTGCAAAATTAGTGAAAAAGAACTTTCTGGAAGCCCTGAAGTCCAATGACTATGAAACACTGGAAGAGCTCTTGAACCAAAAGAAAATAGATGTGGATACGGTGTTTGAAGTGGAAGATGAGAATCTGATTCTGGCATCCTACAAACAAGGTAAATGTGACAGCATTCACAGGACAGGAAGTAGGTGGGCTTGGGGAGTTTTCCAGAGACTGTGGCCTTGTGTCCCTTCTAAAGCTGCAGCTTCATGTGGCTCACGGGGAGCAGTGTCAGGAGGCTCCTGTGGCCACAACCACTGCTGGAGGAGAGCTTAGCTGTGCTGCTGGCCTTGGCGGAGGGCAGGCCAGAGAACAGCACCAGCCTCTGTGCCACCCAGGCACTACTGCAGCCCTAGAGAGCCCTGGAAAGAGGAGAACTTTGCTATTTCCTCAGAGAGGATTTGAGTGCAAAGCCCAGAATAGGGCCCATGCAGTGAAGTATACAATTTTTTTTGCATGTTCTCCATCACATTAACAGAACATTTAGAAACACAAAATATTTAATCTCTTCCTCTTTCAATTTTCAATAGTGCAATGAATTCTCCTTAGTTTAGAGGATCTAAAGAAATCCTGTGGGCTTGAATGTTGCTGTTGGGGAGAAGCTGTATTTTTCAAGCTCACAGAAAGTAAAGGTGTGCTAGTTCATCAAACCACAGGAGTCATCTGGAGAAACAACATAACCAGGCAAGACTTCCCACCTGTTTTGGAGTTTACCAAATCCAAACCAGCTGTCAGACAGATACTGAATTTCCCAAAATTTACAATTTAAAACAATGAAACAAATCTGCTTTCTGCTAAAATCAATGTACTTTGTTACCTACTTGCTAAAAAGACTCCTCATGGGTATCTGGAAGACACTAATGACCAGTTTTTGCCAGAAGTTAAGTGTGCGTGGAGATAAATGCCAGTCTTGTCAGCACAGCAAATACCCTTTTTCTTTTTTTTTTTTTCTGTGACATAATGAAGGGACAACATCCCTCCTCTTCTCTTTTCCTGTGTTTACCTGATATTTAATGATCAGTCTCTGCTCTTTTGATTTCATAAGGGTGAGGATGATTCAGCCAGGAGTTCCCTTGGGGACAGCATCTAAACTAACCCACACAGTGATGAATGTATCTTAAAATACATTTTCTTCTGTCCTCAGCAGGCTAAAATGCATTTTGGTTGTGGTTTGAAACTGCAGAAGTAATGCTTGGATTTTTAATTGTGGATATTTCAGCAACAAGTACTAACCTCTCTTTTGGACGAGTCTCCTTTTTTCAAATGGTAGAAGGATAAATGTACCCCATAAATCACAGCAGTGTATCTGCAGAAGGCACTCCATCAGCTATCATACAAATTTTGCTTTCTGGGAGGAGGATTTACCTGAGGAGGGAATACTGTTAAGCATTCAAAGAGGTTGAGTTTTGCCACAGCCCCAAGAGATGAAAGGGAAAGAAACCACCAGTGGCAGAGGGGCTTTGCTACCTCTCTTACAAAAGGCCCCCTTTTTGGGGACCATAGCTTCTTTTTACCCCAACAAATAGGTGAGTTGAAAGACACCCCCACATAGGCTATTCCAGCTGCCTGCCCAGTGCCAGATCTCATCCCTTTGGGATCAGGGATGTCTGTGGCTCTGGGCAGAGGACGTAGGAGATGCTCCTTCAGGATGTCTGCGGGCACCACTCACTCAGAGCAGTACAAAGAAGATAGAGGCTGGTCTCAGATAGGAAAACTGTGGCTGTGTAATGGCATAACTTAGCTTTTAAGGATCACTTTCCTACCATTATATATCATTTATGGCTCACATACGTATATTTTTGGCCCCCCAGGCTGAAGTCAGTGTAGGATCAGGTTGGTTACAAGGAGGAATGCAAAATGTGAATCTAGGTGGGGAAATGACTTAAGAAACCCACTATGCTGTGTGCATAGAGTCTGGGATATAGCACACTTACTTTGCACCAAGCTTGGGGGCACGTGATGAAAAAGTTTCTGTCTCTGCCAACAGCAGTTTGTTTCTGTCTACCTCTTCTCTCTCCATCTCTCTTCCTATCTAATACAGTACACATGAAACTGTAAATGTTGTATCCGTATGATATGAAGGTGGAAAATATAGAGCTCAAGACTCAAAAATTAAGGTCTGAGTTAATTTGGCTTCATTACACATCTGTAGTACTTTCCTGTCTTTTAAATAATAACAATATTTACCAGAAACTTGCCCAAGGATATCAAAATAAATTAAACCAACAACATTTTATAGGCACATACTAGCTAAAAAGCAGCTGCTGTACTTCAAAAATAAATATGGAAAAGGATAAAAAGGAAGTTTTAGTCTTCTGCTGTCCTTCTGCACAGTACTATCATAGTTTTCTTTTTTAAAGCAACTGATCATAGTAATCACTTCAGAGACTACTTCACAGTAATAATGTCATGAGACATGTAGACGTATCTTGGGAACAAATATTAAAGTGTTCTTTGGTCTTACACATGTTTGTAAGTGTGGGGGGAAAAAAAAAGAAAAAAAAAAAGAATACTGTGAAGTTTTCAGACAAAAATCTGAACATTTTGGAGCCAAATTTCATGCTGAACTGCACCTGTGTTTCCATTTGGTTCTTCCACATAAATCACACCAGCATCAGAAATCCTCAGTCCATGCCCCTGATGGGCAGTAGCTGGCAGAAGGGCTGTGATACTTTGCCACATTGCCACATTGCTGGAGATCATCTTCATGCAATGCATCACTGGGAGTACAAACCCAGCTCCCAGAACATGCGCTCTTGCAGTGTCCCATGCAGAAACAGCAGGATATTCATTGAGTCACAGCCCTAAGCAGATTCAACATTCTTATTCCAATACCACCTTTGTTCAGCTGTTGGCAGACTGAAGAGTCCGTTTCCCACATATTTTTTGGATGATGGCATTTCAAATGCTCTGAGCTTTTTTTAAAGATTATTATTAAGACTACAGAGGTCACTAGAAAAACAGAAGCTGCCTTCAGTACATCTACATGGGAATTATCACTCCAAAAGGCAGACTATTCAGCACACACAGTGGAAGTACCTAATGAAAATGAAGTTATGCTTGAGAGAAATTTGTGTGCACTAAACTCTAGCTGGTAAAATTACAGCAAATTAAACCAAAGCTCCAATCTTCCTTTCCTCCTCAATTGTTCTCAGTAGATGGATAATGCAGAGGAAAATCTTAGCCAAGGATGGTAACACTTTTTTGTTTTGTACAGGATACTGGCTGCCTAGTTACAAATTAAAAATATCCTGGGCAACTGGACTTCATCTGGCTGTCATGTATGGGCATCTGGAGAGTCTTTCAGTCCTGCTCAATCACAAAGCTACAATCAACTGCCGGCCCAATGGGAAAGCTGCAATCCACATAGCGTGTGAAACAGCAAATGTTGAGTGTCTCAAGATCCTCTGCAACCATGGAGCTAAGCTGAACTGCTTTTCAATGAGTGGGCAGGCGCCATTGCATTTCTGTACAACACTAACCTCCATTCCTTGCGCCCAGCAGCTGATTTGGAGAGGTAAGGGAAAGTTCTGGATGGTCTCTGTGGTCTTTTCTAGGAGGCAAGTTTCCAAGTCCATGTATATTTATCTTTCCCACCCACAGCTGACTTGCCTGTCCATCTCTGACTCCTTTTCCCCATCTCTTTGACCAGCTGAAGTTTCTCCTCTCCCTCCCTGTCCCTGACCACCAGCCCTTGCTCCAAGGTCGGTTCCCATTTCCCTCCAGCCCACTGCCTGGTCAGTCCCCAGCAGTAGAGCTCCTCTGAATCAGGGAATTCTTTTTCTCTATACTTTTTTTTTTTTTTCCTGTCTTTCTCATCTAGATTTACTACTGAAAGGCTCTCACATTAAAGTCCACCCCTAGCTTCTTCTTTCTTGCACAAATTTCCTTGTTCTCCATAAATTCTTCCATCCACTTGTGTTTTAAGACCTAGCCCTGACAGAAGAAGTGTAGTTTTTCATATTGGCTCTTAGTTTGCCAGCAGTCAAATTCTCACATCTATATAGAAACTATGGGAAAAAGGCTATTATATAAGATTTTGTTTTCCTGAAGCTAGATATATTATATCTCTGATTGGCTGTAGCAAATGAAGCTATGAATAGATGTAATTCACAGATAAATATATTGATGTCTCTTCCACTGTGTCCTTAACACAAGAAAGCTGACTCTGGACTTTTAAAGACAGATATAAAGGGTATAGCAAAGTCAGGCAGCTCCGAGTTACAAATAGACAGATTCCCTTATTTGTCACACTGTGCCACAGCAAACACAAATACTTTAGCTTTTTGCTACATATGTTGTTATTGAAAGCTTCTCTTGAGATGCAGAGACCAAGTATGATTTGTGGGCAAGGGGATCTGAAACCACAAATGAATAACCACGTTGCATTACTTCTGCTGAGAAGATACATATTATTTTGTTTGTTAGAAAGGAAAATAAATGCTGCCAGTTGTATCCTGCCCAACGCAAAAAGGCCTGACAGCAGGAGCTTCATTTGCTACCATGGAAAAGCTTAAAAGTCGAATGTAATGTTACAAAATGCAGCAAATGAAAGGATGTATTCTGCAGGCTTTCTCCACCCACCTATCAGCAAGCAAGTAACAGTGCTTTGCAAGCCACCCTCTTTTCCTAAGCGCTCTGTAAACTTGAATTCCTATGTTAGCTAAAAGCAGACAAACAAAAATGGGCACAGTCTGGATCAAATCGTGGCAGGTGTGTGCGTTCAGCACCACCCAAAAGCTGTCAGCAGGTGTTTGCTGATGCCCTGAGCTGAGGTTTCCAGAGGTACCTCCCATCCCACCATCTGCACCCGGTGGTGTCACACCAGGTCAGTTCAGGCAAAGGCAGTTCAGCCCTTTCTGGCTTGGGCAACCAGCCAGCCAGGCAGAGCTCTACCCGGATTTGTTTACCACCTCCAAACTTATGTTGCTGATACACTCACAGACGTGTAACGCGAGTAACACCCAGCTGGGTTTAATGGGATTAGCACACAACCCAGCGGTAACTTCTGACTCTTTCTCCCTCTCAGTCATTGCTCCTTGGTCTTAGTGTAGTTTGGCCATGTAAGGGCTACTTGGCTGGAGAGGAGCAGCCACACAGCTTGCTCTTGCTCTTGCTCTTGCATGAGTGCTTTATCAACTGCTTGCCAAGGCTCAAGGTTCAAGGAGCAGCTCTCAGCCACCCAGCTGCCAGCACTGACTTCAGCACCTTCGACCACTGGAAGAACCCCCTTACCCTCTCCAGCCTGCTGGCTCTGCTGTACCCTGATATGTAACAGTATGTATACACACTATGTGTACACTAAAAATATACGCTTCATACTGTAGTTTTGCTTTGCTCCGGGGAATGGGGTCTTGCCAACCTTTCCTCTATCCTAATAAGCAGTGTTCAGTATTCTTCCCCTCAGTAATTTGCATTTCTTTAGAGCAAATTGCTGGTAGCTGGAAGGGACGAGAGAGCGTCCCACCGAGCGGGCGGGAGCCCAGCAGCCTGGGCTGCTTCGGCGGAAACCTCGCCAACTGCAGCGCGGGACCCGGGCTTGTCCGTCCGTCTGTCCTGCGGCAGCTCTCGTGCTGGGCAGCAGATGGCGATGTTGCTTCAGCTGGGATATAAATTAGGTGCAAACAGAGCTGTTACACTGTGTAGTCAAAGAATTATTAAGGCTGGAAAAGACCACTAAGATCATCTAGTCCAACCCACCCCCACCATGCCCACTGACCATGGCCCTCAGTGCCACATCCACACGTTTCTTGATCACCTCAAGGGACTGTGTCTACACAACCTCCCTGGGCAACCTTTGCTAATGTACCATCACTCTTTCGCAGAAATCTTTCCTAATATCCCACCTGAGCCCTATTAGCAGCTCAGAAATAGGACTAGACCCTCAGATAGGGAATTCCTTTCTTCCTTCCTCCCTCCTTCTCTTTCTCCTTTCCTTCCCTCTTTCTTCCTTCCTTTCTTTTTCAAATATCATTTATGGAGTAGGAGTAGTGATCTCATTTTTCCCCTGGTTCTTTATAGGAGAAAGCACTTTGGAAATAGATTTGAACCTGAATGCTGCTCCAAAACAGTGTTTAGATAAGGGTGTTCTATCAGCTCGGGGCCAATCTATGACACTGGGGTCCAAGAATCCGAAGTTTATAAAGGTTTCCTGGTGGCCTAAAAAATGCAAAATCCACATCTCTTACTATTTGCATTACTACAAGCATCTTTCAAGATAAATGCCCATCCCCACCATCTCCTTGGGTAGCACAGCTCTAGCACAGACGTGTCTGAACCAGGATTCTGTTGACTTGACTGTTTCCCATAATCTTTCCTTGACAGGAGCCAACGTGAACATAAAAACCAACAACCAAGATGAGGAAACCCCTCTGCACACTGTTGCGCGTTTGGGTATCCCTGAGCTCGTGGCTTTCTATGTGGAACAAGGGGCGCAGGTCGATGCTCTCAATGCCCACATGGAGACCCCCCTGGCTTGTGCAGTCTACTGGGCCCTCCACTACAAGGAGCAGACGTACAGCCCTGACCACCACCTCATCTGCCGGATGCTCTTAGACTATAAAGCTGAAGTGAATGCTCGTGATGAGGACTTCAAGTCTCCACTCCACAAAGCTGCCTGGAACTGTGATCACGTACTGCTTCACATGCTGCTGGAGGCAGGAGCAGAAGCCAACATCATGGATGTCAATGGCTGTGCCCCCCTACAGTATATCATAAAAGTGACATCTGTGAGGCCAGCTGCCCAGCCTGATGTCTGCTACCAGCTGCTACTGAATCATGGAGCAGCCAGGATATATCCCCTGCAGTTCCACAAGGTTAAAGATGGTTTTGTACAGAGCAGAGAGATGGAGAGAGAGGATGACTTGAATAGGAGAGAGATGAGAGAGTCAAACCTCAGAGTCTGATAATATTCGGATTTGCAGGAGTCCAATGAACTATAGTCCCAGAATGCCCAAAATCTTGTGAGATGACGTGTTGTAAGACTGGTATCATTGTTAATGACAGAAACTTGACGCAATTTTAATTCTCAATCAGTCTGAAAATACAAAGTCTAAATGTTGGCTCAAGCGTAATTTTTCAGAACTGATTGACATAATCATTTCAGAAAATCTACAGGCTTTCATCAAACCTTGCTTCATATATACTTAACTGGGTTGTAGGAAATGTATATTTTGTGGCCTCTATCAAAGACTGGAGAAAAGTTAAAATGGTTCAGTTTGTTCCTTCTGACCTTTAAAAATCCATTCAAACTGAGATGGATCTCGGTGAAGTTTTGGCTTCCCGGGAATGAGAGAAATTAAGGGGAAATTTCAAATCTGGGCTCATAGTTGATCGGAAAAGAAACAACAATTGCAGGATTCCTCCCAAAGAATTTCTAAAGGTCTTCAAAACCCAAAGCACTGTAGTTTCTTACATGAAGCAACAAAGTAAGCTTGCTGTGGTCAGGACTCATTCTCTCATGTCTGCCCTGAACATAACTGTGCTTCTCCTCTACTGTATGTACAAAATTTCAACAAGCCAAGCAATCAGAAATCTTTGAAAAAATGCCAAAGCTTTGGCTGTACCCTCCTGAGCCTAGACTGAGTTGCCTTGGTCTGTAGTAAAATTTTTCTAAACTGTGTTTGAAAGCCAGACTTGGGGTCTCCACTTCCTGCCTCCATCTTTCCCCTATTGCATGGAGTGGGGCACAGATCCAATCTAAATTTGCTATCTGTACAATATGCAGCATGATGTTTAACCCAGGGGAATGCTCTACAGCTTTATTTGTGAAAGTCTATCTATGGTGTGTGTCAAAATTGTACATAGTACGGTGTGAATGCAAAGCACTACTCCATGAATGTGAGTGAGAAGCAGCTTTATTTATTTATTTATTTATTTTTTACTTCTCTGTACAAAGCACTGAAGATGGGATTGTCTTTTCCAGCACCAACTGCATCCTATCCTAAGTTTTAAATGTGTATATTTCAGTGTGTCCTTATGCTGTTCTTGCCAAGCAGACAGGCTGGCCCCACCTTCTTGGTGGTACTTATGATCCCTGTACATCCTGCCTACAGGTGCTACAAGCCTGTCATTCCTATCCCAGGGCTGTGGAGGTGGTTGTTAACAGCTATGAACACATCAAATCAACATCAAAGTGGAAAGCGGCCATACCTGATGATGTCTTTGAGGTAAGCTCTTACTGGGTTGCAAAGGAGTAAAATCCAAGCTTGATATTTATTATCCATATATGGCCACAGGAAAATGAATATACTTTTGAAAGTGAATAACATACCAGGGCAGCTATATGGGCTTTTCACTCCTGCTGAGATCTATGTGTTGGGAGGTGAAGGAGAGAAGCTTAGTGCCCCGAACCACTCATCTTGTTTTGCATTTTACAGCGGCACCAGGATTTCTACGACTCCTTATTCAGTGTGTGCAGCAATTCCCCACGGTCCCTCATGCACTTAAGCAGATGTGCTATTCGGACGACACTGTCAGAACGATGCCACAGAAGCATCCCCTTGCTCTCCATCCCACTGTCCATGAAGAAGTACTTGCTGCTGGAACCAGAAGGAATAATCTACTGAGCCAGTGCCGTGCTGCTGCCTGCACCTTCATGGAGTTGCAGGCCCTGTGCTCACACAAACCTTCACTTCTGTGTGGCCTGAGGGCTGGCTGGCACTCATTGACCCTCCTCAGAGCCTACTTGGGGAAGCAGAGTTGGAAAGGCACCTCCAAATGAACATATCCCACTATGCTTTGTTCAGCCTAGTGTCAACAGCCCAAGCAATGATGCTTCCATTTCTATCAGTATTTATTCCACTGTTTGATATTGTTAGATTCAATCTGAGCAGCCCTTAGTACTGTTTCACTGCAGTTTTCTTTAGCTGTCATTTTAGGAGTCAGAGGATACCGTCAAAAAGTAGCGTGTTCATTTGTGATAGGAATGCTTTCCCAGAAAGAAATGGGCAAACTGATTTGTGTCATGACCACAGTCAGGATTGCAGTAGTTTCCTATGGATCAGTAGTGAATTTGGGATTAATTAATTGTTCACTACACCTGTCTGTACCTTAAAGTTTTGTCATAATACTATTCTTTTTAATTGTAATATTTTTTTTCCGTTATCCATTCTAGTATAGGAACATGTCTGAAATCTGCAGCACTGACATTTCTGTGTGTTCTTATTCATGTCTTGGTAGCTTTTAGAAGATGTCTCTGTTTCCACTCTCACTGTGACCTGCATCAAATTCACATCCTGGTGTGGATAAGGCAGATGCCCTGGACTTACCTGTGTCAGCTCACATACATACACATATCCTTCAGGGTGGTTGTGGGTGGGATCTGTGAAGAATATGAAAATTTCTGTCCATTGGTTACAACAGGATACTAACCTATTAACATGGACTGTATATCTCATTTTTGGGCAGCTAAGCACAGGTGAAAAGAATTCCACCTTAACTGAAAGGTGTTTTCACAGTGAGGAAATGTGGGCTGAGCTATTTCAGACTTGTCAGCTGCTCAGTGCCTTCAAACCTGCTGGTGGTGGTTCCCACAGAGCAGTTTCTCCTGGCAGAGCCATTGTCTCCAGTGCCAGTGAAGAAATGCAGGGCGCACTGTAGGTATCCTGCAGCAACAGTAATTTATGATTTGACCTATAGATAAAACCCATTTTTACTACAATTTTAGATTGATGCAGTCCGTTTGCACTGTTGTTCATTTAGACTCCAATCACTCTGGGCTCTGATGGAAGAGAGGTGAGCTGAGCACATCATCAGGAGCCAGCAACCCCTGACTTCTCACTGCATCTCTGGCTGATGCAGTGGTTCCTTACTATCATTATTAACTCTTTGCAAGAGATCCCACATCTTGCTGGGCTTTTCCCATCTGTACAGGAGCAGCCAAGCTCTTCAGTGTCTCTGTGCTTTGCAAAGTGTCAAGAACAGCACCCAAAGAAATGCACAGATTATTTAGTATTATAAATCACTTTGCTGACAGAAAGCACAGTGATAAGAGCTCTGACTATTAGTAACTATTAGGCCTAACAAGTGTTATGTCTATATCAAAAGCAGTCCCACTGGGGAGTCATAGTATCACACAGGTTGGAAAAGACCTTCAAGATCATCAAGTCCAGCCACCAACCTGACCTGCTGAGTGCCCTCAGTGACAATCAAGCCCTGTACTTTACTAAAATGATGAAAGGTTTCTAAAGTGAATTTTAAGGGACTGGGAAAACTTACATAATATAAGGCCTTTTCTAAGCAATGCACCTGTGTAAGTCAGGAATGGGGAAAAGAACTTGCCAGCTGGACAAGGCAAGAAAATATTTGTTTCTTTCTGAACAGTCTGACAGCAGGACTAGCTGCGCACTCCAGAAGAGGCAGATGGAGGTGCCTGGTTTTACTTTGAAGGCATACTCATGCTGGTGGCTTCAGGATGTGAGATTCTGCATCTGGAAGAGGGAGGTTTAAGGCAGAACAATAGCACTGTTTTTGACCTGTCGTAGTGAGGACTCTCTTGCTGAGAGAGAAGAAAAAAGACTGTCACCACTGTTCCTAAATTCCCCCTGATCCTCCCTCTTCACATTGAACAAGCTTAATTTTCATTCTGCAGGCACCCAGCCTCACTTCCAAGCTTTGTACCCAAGCAGGTGCCAGATTACAGCCATTGTGGGATGTGACAGAGAGCACAGTGGGATCAGGCTGATTATAGTCATAGGAATTTGCAAGCTGTTAAAAACATTGGAGAACATCCCCACTGCAGAAAGAAAAGGACTAATTGATGCACTTTAATTGGTTCTGTTATTGGAGTTAGAAGAGCAACAGTAAGCAAACCTTATTATTTGTTACCTTTTAACATTTCTTTCTTTTTAAATCTCACTGCAGTGCACAGTAAGACTAAGTACATCTAGTTTCTGTGCACTAGATGAAGCTGCCCAAGTGAGGCATGGAGGCACCTGGTATTTGTTAAATTTACTGGATGCACAGTCTTATTACTCTTAGTGCAGATTCATTGGAGATTCATACTATAATATAACTTCTGATATCATGCCTGTATGTTTCCAAAGCTGCAACCAATTGGATGGCTGAAAATGGAAATAGAGAGAGACCAGGCTGCAACTCCTATGCTGTAAGTTTGAACCTAATCATGAGCTAAAATAACAGAAAATTAGTTTCAGGGTTGCTTGGTCTTCCCTTCCCTTCCCTTCCCTTCCCTTCCCTTCCCTTCCCTTCCCTTCCCTTCCCTTCCCTTCCCTTCCTTTTTTATTATTTATTTGTGCTATTTGTCTTCTCAGTAAAAACGTAGTCATGTCTGAGAAATATTCACTGCATTTCACAACCTGTTCGAATATTTAAAGCACAAAAGAGCACAAAAAATGAACTGTTTTTTCCCACTGGCAACCCTTTCCCACAAATCCATTAGTGACTTTTCAATAGACAACAACCAGGTGCTTTGTAGAAGGTGCATAAGAAGAGATATTCTTAAGCCAAATAGTTTGTTATTCCATTTAAGAACATAGACATAGAGACACTCCACATGTTTCAGTGGGCCAGTGCAGAGCCATAATCCAGTTTTTCACAGACATTCACTTTGTATACTGCTCTTATAATAATTCTAAACCTTCCCTATTTGATGTCTGACTTGTTCCAGCTTGACTCGAAACTCCACAAATTCATCCATGGAGAGAGCATGTAGGTGAAACCAAAGTCAATCTAAAAGAGTTCAGGACTGTGTTTTCATTCAAAATCTTAAACAACTATTCACATTTGGTCAGCCTTCAGAAACCAAGACAGTGAGCCTGAAACAGCGTGACTAGAGAAGCTCTAAAGCACTGCTGCTGGTCATGCCCGTCTCATGCCAAGGAGAGGAGCCAGAGACTGCAAAGTGGCAGCTAGGGAAATTGCAAGAGGAAGCAGCTCATCTTACTCAGTTCCCTCTCAGCTGTAGCAAGTGAGTCATCCTTGAGACAGGCTACTTTTCCAGTGTTGCTTGTAGATGGTGGGGAAAGCTATTTTCTCTGTTGTCTCCCACTGTGAGCAGAGCTACCAAGACCTTGAGAGTTGCACAAGGCTTAAGAATGAGGCAAGTATGCTTTCTCTCTGCAAAGGTGACTTTGTACACAACTGTCTGCATATAGAATGGTCCTAGAGCACAATGTATTTCATTAATGTACTCCATACTGATACTTTAAAGCAATACTCAACAGTCAGGTACAAAATCCTCCTTCAAACACAGGCTACCTGATGAGAGTCTATTGCTTGATTGAATGGCAGCAACACTCAATCTCGGGGCCTTCAGCACAACTGGTGCTAATTCCACATCCCTCACTCCTGTGATAGCATGCATTAGGTACACTAGTGCACTGAGATGAGCTTACATTATAAAGAAGAAAAGGTTCAAAGCCCAGACTATAAATATAGGGCTCTTGGACCACATGGAACAGGTAGCCAGGATCTCAGTCTCCTTCTGTCCTCAGTGCTTGACAAGCCAGCAAGGGAAGGAGGCAAATTGGCTGCAGCCCTTCCCATGCTCTTACATGGCCTTGGCACCAGGGCAGTGTGGAGGATGCTGCTGCTGCCTGAATCATCTTGAAATGTTTAGGACCAAAACTGCTGACTAGAAGAAAGCAAACTGTATGGATCTGTATGTGCATTGGCATGTGAGTTCATTCTTAGAATCACCAAGGCTGGAAAAGACCTCCAAGATCATCTAGTCCAGCCATCTACCTACCACCAATATTTCCCCACTAAAACATGTCTCTTAGTACAACAGCTAAAGGTTTTTTGAATACCTACAAGGAAAGTGATTTCACCACCTCCCTGGGCAGCCCATTCAAGCACCTGACCACTCTTTTGGAGAAGAAATTTTTCCTAACATCCAACCTGAATCTCTCCTGGTGCAACTTGAGGCCATTCCTTCTAATTCTATAGCTAGTCACACAGGAGAACAGGCCAAAATCCATCTTGCCACAACTTCCTTTCAAGTAGTTGTAGAGTTCAGGCAGTTGACTCTTCATATGAGAAGAGACCTGGAGAGATATTCCAGTCAAATCTTTGCTCTACTTCAGAACAGAGCTTTTCAACTCATGGCAGGGGTGTCAGGACTGAAGCCAATACATTCTAGAAGAATTTTGGCATTAGTGAAATTTTCTTTCTTCAAAATCACTTACATCTTGAAAGATCATTTCTTTTCATGGGGGAATCTGTTAACAGCCTATACTCCATTTCTGACAAAATCAACTGCTGTGATTGTGAGTTTCGTTATATCTCCCAACCAGAGCAAGACTGACAACTATTTCTATAAAACGTCAGAAACACAATTATTAGAGGTAGGGGGAAGGTTCTGGTCTGCCATGAGAGGCAGCAGCTTTACTTTTAGCTGAAAGTACTGCTGGGCCAATTAAAATGATCACAGAGACTCTGCTCCTTCATATTATAGGAATGCCCTTTCAAAATGCACTATGACTTTTGGCAGCACATTTTGCCCGTGGGACAAATGCCTGTAAATTAAATATACAAGAGTTCAGTTTTTGAGATTGGAAGGAAGATTGAAACAGTCTGGGGTGGCCTGTGCTCTTATATACCTTTATTAAACTTGGAAAAGCCAAGGAGGCATGCTAGCTTTTCAGCATGCTCCAAGCTTTGCAGGGCTCTTGATGGGCTGCTGCTGCTTTTCTGAAATGCTGCAAGACACAGATGGGTCAGACACAGCAATATTTCCATTTACTTTCAGGATATGGAAGTAGCATTTCCCTGTGCTCCCTAGGGTTTGCACTTCTACTAAATGACAGTGCAGAACATGCTATTAGCAAAGATGCCAAAGCCTAGCTAGTGCCTGACACCTTAACCTCCCTAAGAATTATATTAAAGTAGTGGAAAGATCTACCACGGTCTTTATTTGGGAACGGCAGGAACTTCTGCTACAGCAGATGAGTGAGTGGGTCAGAAAAGATTGCTATATACAGCAACTGTCAGATGAAATTTGTTGGCTGCTCAGAATTTTTTTTTCTGACCATTTTTCCAAATGCATCTTAAGCTTCATAGCACATAAAGTGGAAAGGTGACTAAGACTACTATGCATTCCAATGACCTGTTTGATTTTAATATACAGTTAATTTCCTTAGCCTTTTGCCTTGCATTGGCACCCCATGAAACACTGCTAAATTGCAATTAAGGCATTTGAAACAAGGACAGAGGGGCACAGGATGATTTTTACACCACTGGTGAACTGCTATGTTCTTTCCAATGAGGGCTAGCTAGGGATGCTGCTACCAGCCTTTTGCTTAGTGCCAGAATACATCTGCACTTCA